ATAACAATATGTTTGTGTCATTGTAATTTAAATACTTAATGAAGAAAGCTATCAATTTTAACAAGAATGATTTCATTGCCTCTCGTCAATAATTCAGAAACCTGCTATTTGAATGATTCAGTGTAGGTACTGGTAGGCTGCCTTTTAAGGCTGTGTTATGTTTTCACAGTAGTGGTGTTGATTACTATCACTACAGTGTGCTAGGTGAGAAAACTTGTTTGCCTTACTAAAAATTAAGCAAAAGCCCTTCTTAACCAAATCTGCAAACCTGTGATAGAGAAAATTTCCTAAAGAAGTTCATACATTTCTGTGTTTAATTTGAAGTATCTTCTTATTCTTTTTGTTGTTTATTTTTTTGGCAGTACTGGAGTTTAAACTCAGAACCTTATAGTTGCTATGCAGGCACGCTAGCATCTGAGTCACACACCAACAGCCCTTCTTTGCTTTAGTTATTTTTTGGGCAGCATCTTGTTTTTTGGCTCAGGCCCAGCCCTAGACCCTGATTCTCCTACCTATGCCTGCCAATTAGTTGGGATTACATATGCATGCCACCATGCCTGGCCCTCACTTTTTTAAAGTTTCTTCTTTTTCTTTTTTTTAAAATTATTGTTGTTGTCTTCCTCTCTCCCTTCCTCTCTCCCTCATTGCCTCCCTCCTTCCCTTCCTTCCTTCTCCACTCTCTTCTTTTTCTTTTACAAAAAGCTTTAAGACTAAGAAGTTTAAAAGAAACTATTAGCTGAATAGATTTGTGTTGAATGACCTCTGTCGTAGTCTGTTCAAGCTGCTGTAGCAAAATACCATACATACTCAGGTGGCTTAAACAACAATTTATTTCTCTCAGTTCTAGAGACTGAGATGTGGAAGATCAAGATGCTGATAGACTTGGCTCCTCATTAGGGACTCCTTCCTGGCTTGGAGACAGCTGTCTTCTTACTGTGTCCTCACCTGGCCTTTTCTGAGCAAGTGTGCATGGAAAAAGACCTTTCTGTCTTCCTGTTCCGTAAGGGCTCTAATCCCATCCTAAATCCAAGTTCTACCTCCAAATACAGCCATGCTGGGCTGTAAGGCTTCAACTTAGTAATTTTGGGGAGACACAAACACTCAGCCCAAAGTAATGATACTTATAAAAAATAAAATTTCCCTTCACTTTGTCAGCATATTAAGTACCTAATTCAGCATATAAATATTTTTACCATTCCTTATACTTGCTCTGTCTATACATATAGCAAGTTTAATTGTAGTTTCATTCAGGTAGGTCACTATTTTGGAACATATTTTAATTTTATTCAAGTACAGAAGTTATTCTAATTTATTTCTTTTTCCTCAATCTTGTAATTACAGAGATGATTTCTCCATGTTTTTGTTCCTTTTCATCAAAATCTAAATATGACATGAAAATACTGTCTAAAAATTAATGTCCCAAATTCAGGAAGATGTTTAATTTGAATTTTTAGATTTTCCCATTTGTTAATGTTTTGAGAAGTACTTAGTATCAGGACTTATGTAAAAAGAGAAACCTTGCATCATCTTAAAATAAATCATTTGAACAAAGCAGAGAATAGTTTTAGAGAAAGTCACTCATCAAGGTTTAATTCAACATCCTAATGTAAGCTATTTGGCATCTTTGGATTAGCACTTGGCCATTGGTTCATCATCATAAATTGTACAGTTCAAGGGAATTATGCCTTTCTGGAGGATTTTGTGTCCCTCTCTATCCTACTTGGTAAAGTCTCAGCAGTTGATTTACGGAGGAGAATTCATTAAAGGCCACTGTATGGCACCTGATTAGAATTCATGCAGTCAGACATCCTGTACACTTCTGAAAAATATTTTTAGTCAGTGATTTAAGAATACCAGAAGCTGTTTTAAATTACTTTCTCTGGCAAAGCCAAAGCTCATCTGACTGCATATTTCTCTTTTCTTCTTTTTTTAAATTAAAATTATTTTTAAAGTGATCCAGGACAACATAAACATTGTACAAGTCAATGGGGTAAGGCTTCCACATGTTTATGCATTGTGTAATGTTTAAATCTGGTTAAACATGTCTCCTCAAACATTTATCACTTCTTTGTAGTGAAAACCTTCAATCTAATTTATTCTAGTTTTTTGAAATGCACAATTCATAGATTTTTGTTTTTAAAATGAGAGTTATGTCTGTTCAAAGTTTTAAAAATTGAAGCAATTTACAAGGCTTCTTTAAAAAACTAAAAAGCCCCCTCAGACTTTGTGTGCTCTCCCTTCTCATTTCTTTTCCCAAAGGCAGCTGCTTTTTCTGCCATTAGGTAATTATGTTGATATTTTTATTTCCTGACTTTGGAATGTGGCATTATTTGTTTTTCCACTATGGAAGATATAAATCTAACTTCCTTTGCTGTTCAGTCTTCTCCTTGCCTGTCTTCCCTGTGTAGTTATGTGGCAATTTGGTTAGTTCAATTTTCACTGTTCACATTAGCATGACTGAAATCACAGTGGAGACATGTAGTAAGCTGCGTTTATTTTTGCTTTTCCTGTGTAACTTTTTGTTTTCTTGTAGTGTCCTGTTAACTTTCTTTGTACATACCACTAATTCATCCCTGAACTCTTCACCAGTTGTCTAAATTCAGATGTATTGATACTTTACCAATGTCATTGATCTGACATTCTCCTCTGGAGCCTCCCCACCTAACCTGCTAGACTGGTTGCCCTTTGTGTACAGTGCACAGCTGTTGTCTTGGCATCTGTCATCATCTGTCTTATTCTCCCTTGATTTATCCTTTTGGTGTGGCCAGGTACAAGCTGAGAAAAAGACCAATGAGAGATCAATTTTCTGTGAAGTTACATATGTAAAATGGCTTTATTTCATTGCAGAGGATTATGACTATAAAAATGAGTCTGCTTATTGTCATTTTATTGAGCTTATAGAAGGAATCAAGCTTAGATGTATGCAGTATTCCCTGTTCACCCGGAAGTGTCATAAAACTTTATGCTTTTTTTCCCCCTTGCGATACTGGGGTTTGCACTCAGAGCCTACACTTTGAGCCACTCCACCAGCCCTTTTTTGTGATGGATTTTTTTCAAGATGGGGTTTCACGAGCTATTTTCCTGGGCTGGCTTCAAATAGCAATCCTCCTGATCGCTATCTCCTAAGTAGCTAGAACTATAGGCATGAGCTGCTGGTGCCTAGCTAACTTTATATATTTTAATCATATCATTTCTTTCTGTTTTGAGCTCAGGAATTAAACGAGTTTGGGAAACAAGTTCAAAGGGGAGTTACTTGTTCTTGTCAAGTGATACAGTAGAATTGGAGCTGCTGAGCTGGATAGCTGAAGATACGAACGATGAAAGAAAAATAATTATAGAGCTTCAAAGAAGGTCATAGCTAGGCAGTGAAAGATTAGATTTTGCTTTTCCTTCAAGTTTCCTTTCACCATTAAGAAAAATGAGATTTGGAAACTAGGTAGAGGTGGTGGCCATACAATATTGTCACTATACTAAATGCCGCTGAATTGTTTTACCTCAAAAAAATTTTTACATAAACCATGAATACTTTCAAAGCTAGTAGCTACATGACATCCTGTTTTTTGGGATAAAAGATAAGTTGACTTATTACACAGGTCTCATTAAATTCTGTTTCAAAGCCTAGAAGTTTTGTAGAGCTTTAAAAAGTGCTCACAGGCATGATTCTGGGATGTTTTCAGAATGTTAATACATTTTGGGAAAAGAGAAAGCAAGATCATTCCAAGCGTTGGCATGTGAAATTGGTATTTCTTTGTGATAGAGGTGAAAGGAATTAGCAAGTTTTTGCCTCAGAGTATAAGTCATTGCAGCTAGATAGCACAAATTTTGATGCAAGCAAGAACTTTTGACTCTTTAGTTGTTTATATGGCAGAAAAACGGGTAAATGCTGATGGAATGTGGTATAGTTCTTATAAATTTATAACGCAATACAGTGCTAATCTTTCATATCAAACACCATGTTTCTTAAAAAGGGTTAATAGCATTTTATTACCTAAAATGTAATCTGTGGCAGTTTGGTGTAGTGCATTAGAGCATGTGTCCTGACACCATAATATCAGGGTTCAAATCCTGGCTCTGCCTCTTATTAAACTTCCCAGGACTCATTTTTGTTATCTATAAAATGGACAAAATGGTAACCATGTTGTGATGAATGTGAATTAATACATCTGAAGATATTTAAACCTTACCTATCACAGAGTTTATAAAACATTAGAAGATTGAATTTACTATGCTTTATTTCCTCCCTTCTATCCCTTCCTCCCTCCCTTCCTCTTGGGATCAAACCTTCATTCCTCTGGGGATTAAAGAGGACCTCATGCATGTGAGGCAAGTACTCTACCACTGAAATGTACCCACAGCACGTAATAAATGTTATTTTATGATGTTTATTAAATTGAAATCCATAAAAATGTATTTAGAGTAATGTATATAACATAACTAATGAGAAGACTACTTCCTTACCAGAATGTCTTATTGTGTTTCTGGTAACCAACTCTAGTCACAAACATGCAGTTGACTATCTTTCTTACTACATTTGGAATTGTGGTTAAACATTTATTTCTCTTTTTCCTCTACAAACTGAATGGTTTTAGCTACCTTTTTAATTTATAAAGAATTTTATCCTTCATTTGCAGTGGATTTGCTTGAATAGTAAGAGCAAGAATCTGTCAATCGTGTTTATTTTCAATTCCCTGTATTTGGTTTAGACATAATGCCTGTCATTTGTGATTTGCCCTTAGAAGCAATGAAAAGATTGAGAATGAATATGAGCTATAAACCTGCATCTGAAAGATTAATGAGTCACTGACCACAAAGAATACTTAATTTTTTTAAAGTTATTTTTCTTTACTAGGATTTTGTGGTTCTGATAAATGATGAGAATTCTCTCACCAATTATTATCTTAAGTACAGTTTGAAATTCCTCATCTTTCTGCAAGACGAAGTTCTATGCTTACATGCTCTGGTTTTCATTAGTAAGACATCTTTTAAATTTTTCTTTACAGATCACCAGTCAGAAATTTGAAGGTCATAAGCTTTCTGATGGTGGTGGTAAGCCATGGCGGCAGATGATAAAGTTGCTATCCTAACTGATGATGAAGAAGAGCAGAAGAGAAAATACGTGCTTGCTGATCCCTTCAATGGCATTTCCAGGGAACCAGAACCACCTTCCAATGAAACACCATCTTCCACAGAAACGTCTGCTACCCCTGAGGAGGAAATAGACTGGATAGAGAAGTATTGTGTGAAAATAAACAACGATCTTCTCATCTCCAAGGTTTTCTACTTCTTCTTCTACTCTGCCTATGGCTCTCTTTACCCACTTTTGCCTGTGTATTACAAACAGCTGGGAATGTCACCAAGCCAGAGTGGACTACTAGTAGGTATTCGGTACTTCATTGAATTCTGTAGTGCCCCCTTTTGGGGTGTGGTTGCAGATCGCTTCAGAAAAGGCAAAATTGTCCTCCTCTTTTCTCTTATGTGTTGGGTTTTGTTCAATCTGGGTATCGGATTTGTCAAACCCGCTACCTTGAGATGTGTACCAAAGATTCCTCCAACAGCTCGCCCCACCAACGCAAGTCACTTGGTAACCATCCTGCCAACAAATTCTTCTGCTGTCTCTTTCCTTACCACATCACCGAAAATACGTGGGAAAAGAAACCTGCCTCCTTCCAATTGGACATCAATGTTAGAAACAGAGCCCAAGAGCTCAGATGCTGATATCTTTTCAACAGCTTTGACCAAGACCAGTGAGCCTCCTCTACATCCCCAAACAGATGAAGTTACTGACCGTGTTATAGACTTGATCTTGAATGCAAGCACAGCAACTCCTGCCCCCACAGCAAATGTAACCAGGGAGACAACCACTGTTATTGTCACTACCACCAAATCTTTTCCATCAGACCAAGTCACTCTTGTTTATGATCAACAAGAAGTTGAAGCGATATTCTTGGTGATCTTGGTGGTTGTCATTATAGGAGAATTTTTCAGTGCCTCTTCTGTCACGATTGTAGACACAGTGACTCTTCAGTATCTGGGAAAACACCGAGACCGCTATGGATTGCAGCGCATGTGGGGCTCACTGGGCTGGGGCCTGGCAATGCTGTCTGTGGCATTGGGATTGACTATACCCACATAGAAGTGCTCATTGATGGAAAGGGGTGTAAGCCCCCTGAGTACCGAAACTACCAGATCGTCTTCATCGTCTTTGGAGTTCTCATGACCATGGCTTTGATTGTTGCTACTCAGTTCCGGTTCCGCTACAGCCACTTCAAGAACAATGAGAGTAAAGGGAAAGAGGTGGAGATCCCTCAGGTGGAAAGGAACAACTCTACAGAGTCCTCTGAGGAGACACCAACCACCACAAGCCATTCACAAGCCTTCAACTTCTGGGACTTAATCAAACTACTCTGCAGTGTGCAATATGGCTCCGTATTGTTTGTGGCTTGGTTTATGGGTTTTGGATATGGCTTCGTGTTTACCTTTCTTTATTGGCATTTGGAAGACCTGAATGGAACTACCACCCTCTTTGGGGTCTGTTCAGTCCTGAGTCACGTGTCTGAGCTGACAGCTTATTTTTTTAGTCACAAGCTTATTGAATTGATTGGCCACATCAGGTAAGAAAAGAATTGCTATTGCAATTGAACTTTATCTTATTATAGTTTATAACTCCTCTTTGCATATTTAAGGATATTATAATTTGTGTTGGAGTTAAGTGTTGGGATGGGAATGGGACTTTATGTTACTTTTCCTCCTTAAAACAAGAGGAAGAAGACATAAATTTATCTAGATAATCAAAGAGAAACAAACAAGCAAACAAACACGAACGACTGCCTCCCTCTCCCACCTCTCAGAAAAAAATCCATAAGCTACCACCTATGTGCTAAGAGACTCTTACCGTAAATGTTTTCGGGTACGGAGCATTAACTTTTGTGAATTGTTTTATTCCATGGGCTTGGAGGGGTCTACCTGTCTCAGTTATTTATGAAAGAAAGTTTCAGTGGATAAAATGGATTATGTTTTTCCAGCCTTAATTTATTCTCATACACTTACTGACACAGATAGAGCTTAGATATATGACATATAAAGATGATCAAGGGCTGGGGATATAGTTTAGTGGTAGAGCACTTGCCTACCATGTGTAAGGCCTGGAGTTCAACCCCCAGGACTGCCAAAAAGAAAGACCATTCTATTTAATAAAATTGTGATACTGTGATATAACCCACCATAATCCCTAATTTATGATATTAGATGGAGGAAATCTTATATAACTTTTTTCTAATTGTTACATGAATCACTGCATTTTTGTCCTCCATGAAGACATGGACTATTAAAAATCTTCCTTTTACCTGAGTTTCCCTTGTTAACCTTTCAGTAAAAAAAGAAAGAAGTATCTATAAATGCCTATTCTTCCTTTTTTGTGCAGTATTTATCACCATTAATGTTTGCCTGAAGCTGACTGAGGTACCTTGCTCTTTGAGGTTTTTCTGATCTATTTTTGTCTCTAAGATGTAGAACCAGATGCACTTAAAACATTCTTGCCTGAAGAAAAGTGTGACATGTTTGCCATAGCTAAAAGAAAGCTATTGTGTATATTTGTGTGTATGTGATAATCTATAAATTCTTTATTCTTGTAAGAAATTAAAAAGAAGAAATAGATTGACATGATTTGGAAAATGTTGATCTTTATTCCTTTCATTTCCTTGCTAATTGAGGAAAATATTTTCTAATTTAAAGTTTCAATCTAGAATTATGCTTTTCTCCAAACAGTTATGAGTATTTGCCCTTGTTTGGTTTGGTTTTGCTTTGGGAAGCTGTGTCCTGTTCCCTTTTTATTCTCAAATGTTTGACCCCTTTGTTGTCACTAAACAGAGTCAGGCACTGTGCGGATGAGGCACAACCAGTGGGGCTATTCTGAAAAAGAACTGTAAAATATTAAGGACTTGGAGTGTCCTTAACCTTGCCCAGCCATGTTTACGTGCTCTGAGCTATGTAGATTGACCATGATGAAGTAGACACCTCAAAGCCTGGATATATGAGCAGATCTCATCACTAATAGTATTTCTTAAGCCAATGATTTATTCCTAAAAAGATGCCTAGTTAGGTGTTACCAATGAGTAGAATTCCTAGACAGTATTGTTTAATTAGTCAATAGCATCAGTTGAACATTGGCTCAGTACAGAGTATGCATATAGGTTCTATCTTCAGAGGTATTGTTAGGTTCTTCCTGAGTGCTAAGAAATGACAGCATCCTGCATTTGCCCTTTGTCTGAGGCCTGCATTTCCATGATAACATCTTAGTGGGTTCACTACTACTTTTAATAATTACATAAGCTTATACTTGCGTTTTTCTTTCCTGGTGGTATTTGTTACTTGTTATTTTAAAACCTATAACCTTAGTTTTCTGGTTTTATGCACAAAAAGCATTTCTCTTTTCTTATTTAATGATGTGATGGAAGAAGGCCACTCTTGTGGTCACACTGTAGCTCCAAGAGCTGCTGGGATTCCGTGGTCCTTCACATTTTAATTGTTAGTTAAAGCATATTAGTTACTTTAAGTACTGTTAAGAGATTCTAATAGCTAATGTGAGATTATACCCACATTTGTACTCAAGTAGAGTGGATATGTTTCTCTTGCTGACAATTTTGGTAGCTCAATCAGATGATGAATATCAAGATTTTGATGTTAAATGTATAGTGCTGATAGCTTAGACTTTTCATTGGAAGAATATCATATATTAAAAAGTTGAGGAAATGATCTAAGAATCTTTAGTCTTTATATATTTTTATAGGGTGACAAAGGGAAATTTATTTGTGGCTCTTACATATTGCTGTACATCTTTTCACTATCAGAGTTTTAGGAGTTAGCACTACCATAAACATTATAAATATCCTAATATAGTTAGAAGGATATTTTAAAAAATTCTTTATTTAGATTCATAATGAAGAAAAATTAACATCAGAAAAAGTTTTTTAAAAATAGCATGTCCAGTTTTGAACCACTTAATATTCTCAACAGTTCCACAATTGGGGCCTGCTTTTTCAGAGAATGGCTTGTCAGTCTGAAACACCTACAAATATACGCACACACACACAGAGTTAACAATTTGACCTTGGATTTTGTCCTTTTTCAGAAAGTGACTCTCAGGCAAATAGGATAATGCTTAATATTTACACTAAAAAAGTCAATTTCTTTTTATTTGAAATCCTAAGACTTTGGAATTTACAGCAAATATATTTCTAGGCCCAATTATAGAAGGATGATTAACTGAAGGTACAAATGTATCCTAAGGGTCCATTTACCTTGCTAAATGTTTCAATTTAGCAAAAACCTACCATAAGTAGGTTTTTGGCCAAAATAAATTACAATGAGTCATTTGTAAATTGCTGAATCCTTATTATCCAATGTTAGGCCATCACCTGTGCTATTTGATTTAAATTTAGTTCCATTTTCATGGACACATAAAAATATGCTCAATCAATCAAATACTTTGCCCTGAAATTCTTACATTTAAGGTCAGTTTTGCCAGGTAACTGTTATCTACAGGAAGTGATACATTACCCATTGTTAGCTATGAACTACTTAATAATAGCTAAGTATCCAAGTGGCCTAGCCAATTTGGGAAAGAAGGAGATACATGCTGCAAATAGAAGAAGAGGAATACCAGGCTTTCATGACGGGCACTGGAGGAAGGAGACCTACAACAGATAGCAAAATGTTGGGATGTTCGGCTAACACTCAGCTGAGGTCGTACAGGAGACAGCTCATAGCTCATGAGAAGTGTGTGGTCATTGGAGTGTGGAGTGTGTGTGGTCTCTCTCTCTCTCTCTCTCTCTCTCTCCCCCTCCCTCTCTCCCTCTCTCCCCGTCTTGCTCCCTCCCTTTCTGCCTCCCTCCCCTCTCTCCTTTCTCAGAGTTTTTCCATTCTCATCCATTCTCTTGTTTCTACCCACTTCTTTGTGCCATCTGCTGATCCAGAAGAGCCTGCTGCTTGTCAGATCCTCTTTCACCTTGTGTGCAAGAAACTGATTTCTGCCAGCTGAGCTTCCCTGGATCTGGAATCTTGTCTTCTGCCTGGGTTTAGCTAATGCATTGGTTCTCAACAAGTACTCTCACCAGGAGGCATTTTAAAGCTCCTCTTCACAGGATGCATCCAGACCAATGACATCAGACTCTCCAGGCATTTGTGCTTTACAAAGCTTGGTGGTTCATTCCAGTGTGCAACCAAGGCTGAGAACCATCAAGGTAATGAGAGGCACAGGCAAGAGGGAGACTGGAAAACCCAGGGCATTTTTCTCTCTTTGCATCTCATGCAGAACATGGAGTGATCTTGGGAGATTGTTCCCTCAGTCCTTCCAGGTGGCTTTTCCCTGGCCTCTGGTATTGTCCTCACATGTACATGCTGGAGACTTGAGGAAGCCCTCTGCAGATCTCTGCCACTCTGTCTCTCTCATGGGTCTCTATTGTGAGTCCAACATCTCCCCGCTCTGTTATCCTAACCTGGGCCATGTGGAGGATGCTTGTAGCTGTCTCAGAGTACTTTGGCTTCTCAGCTCTTCCTTCATTTCTCTAACCAATCCCTGTATTAAAACATATTGGTACCTGATTCCCTGATTAGATGCTGACTCATACAGCATCCATCACTGCTCAGAAAGACTTCCCTGGCAGTTGCCTCAGTGAGGAAATAGCATAGAAATATAGTAACTTAATTTTTAATTAAAAAATAAAATGGATAGGATGATTAGGATGTGGGAATTGAGATAGAGACCCCACATTCCAGCTAGTGTATGGTATTTTCACAACTAATAGGAAATTCAGAAAAGAGATGTGGCATTAGGAAGGAGGGGACATAAAATGATCTGAATTTAGTGTCAGATTTAATTTGAAGTTGAAACATCCAGAAAGGGATGTATGTCTAGCAGACAAATTAAACCTAAAGCTTAATTTGTTAGGTTAGGATTGGGGTCACAGGTTAGGACAATTAAAGCCATGAACATGGATAAGATCATCAAGAAAATCTTGTGGGTAAAGAAGAAAAATGGGCTGAGGAAAATCAGTTACAGTTGTTTCCATGATAGCATTCCGAGACTGTGGCTTCAAGCTCCACTGGGAACGCTGGTGTGTGTCTTATTGCTTAAAGTAAGTATCCTTATACTTGAGCATAGTTAGTCCTATGGGGGATGTGTTCTGATTTCTACCGTAGTCTGCTTCAACATCTTGGGCAGCAGCAGTTGACTTTCTGAGCATCCCTAGTGCCATCACTGGAGCTGGGCACCCTCTGTGGTGTTTACAAGAGCTGGGCACCCTCTGTGGTATTTACAAGTGGGACTAGGTCATATACAAAGGAGAGAAAAAGTAAAGGGCACAGGGAGATAAAGGTGAGAAAGGGCAAGAAGGAAATATCAGCTGTCTTGTGTCCTCACATACAAAAGGCAGCATTACACAGTGGTTACTGCCAGCACAGGCTCAGGGTCAGAGCACCTGGTTCAGAGCCTCGATCTTCACTTGGAACCATATGGCCTTTGGCAAATTACAGAACTTGTTGTATCACTTTTAGTGTCTATCTGTTAATGCTCTTTTCATGAAGATTAAATGATGAAACAGCAATTTTTACAGCA